GAGGCGGCCAGGGCTAGGACTCCGCCTAGTTTATTGGGGATAGAGCGTAAGATAGCGTATGCAAACAGGAAGTATCATTCTGGTTTAATGTGTGGTGGCGGCAGTGCCCGCGGCTGGCGGTGTGCGCTCCTGGGAGGCGTGAGGGAGCCCGCAGGAGCTGGGGCGTCCCTCCTTCCTCTGAGGGGTCAAGGTGTCCCGGCGTCCCCTCTCACCGAGGCCGCCAACCCCTCAGAGGCGGCCCGGGGCCTTGCTGGGGTCGGTCCGCCATGGCCTGCCCTTAAACACAAGCGCCGGAGCAGAAGCCAGGAGCTGTCTCAGAGTGGGGCCCTCTTCTTCCCTGTCCTCACACAGGGGGTAACCCACGAGGCCTCCATCCAACACGCTCTGAGATTGGACCAGATAAGTAAAGGCGCCAAGAATTGCGAATTTGGAGGCTCTTTTTTGAGATCAGGGACAAATGGGAGGACCTGTAGTTGAGATAAGAATTAACTACTATAGAGACTTTGGAAATACACAGTGATGATGCACTAGCTGATAAACTCACCTGTCTTCCCGGGCAGCTGTCGGCGTCTGGCGAGCAAATGTTTCCACACCACAGCGGCTTTTCTGAAGAAAACTGGAACTGAGCACCAGTGGCTGGAGCGGCACTTGAAGGATCCCTTTGTCAAGGCAACGAAGCGGCAGCATTACCGTTGCCGAAGTGCCTTCAAATTACTGGAGATCGATGACAAGCTTCATATTCTTCGTCCAGGACTTTCCGTTCTTGACTGTGGAGCGGCGCCTGGTGCTTGGAGCCAGGTTGCTGTAGAGAGGGTCAACGCTTTAGGTACCGGTAAGCGAATGTTTTTGGCAGGGGAGATGGGGACGGTACTCATCTTGAAGTGTGTGAGAAAACTCGGCTGTGATGGTGTAGGTAAGGGACACGGGTACTGGCACACGCCAGAGTCACTGGTAGAGAAGCGTGAAGGTGTGTGCCTGCATGACAGTGGAAATCTTCGTACAGTCCAAAGAAAGCATGTTTGTGGATAAAGTAAAAGCTTACTGTGAGGTGCAGCTGTAGGCGTAACACAGTGTTTGGTTTAACTGTGTTGTGGGGATGATCCCTTCACCCAGTTCTCAGATTCGTGTAGCCTCCAGCAGGTAACTTGGCTTTTCTGTGTTTTTATTTCCCATCTTGAAAAGTGGTAGTAACCACTATGTACAGTTTGTGGGTTAAGCCATTAATAGCTATAAGATAAGATGTTACTATCTGTGCTGTTGCCCAGGATTTCTGGACTGTCAGCTTTGAAAGAACAGGGAAAAAACCAAGAAAAATACCCCTTGCTCATCCAAAGTAACTGAGTTTTCCTGTCTCGAATGGATTAGCTTGTAGCAAACCATCCATCCAGATGCAGGCAGCAAACTGTCGAAGGACAAGATACCAGACAAGGCAGGTGATAGTTTTTGTTTATTGACTAGCACGGAGCTCCTGCATATGCAAGTTGTTTGCAACCGTTACGAGTGTTCAATATGTCATTCATTCTTATAATCTAGATCCCGCTGTCCCCACCGGCTTTGTCCTTGGCGTTGACCTCCTGCGGATTTCTCCTCTGGAAGGAGCGATCTTCCTGTCGGAGACTGACGTTGCAGACCCGAGCACGCTGAGGACGATTCAGAGCCTGCTGCCTGTGGAGAAGGTGGACGTTATCTTGAGCGACATGGCACCTAATGCAACGGGCATTAAAGAACTGGATCATCAGAAGCTCATCAATCTGTGTTTAGGCCTTCTGAACCTATCCCAAAGTATTTTAAAACCAAAAGGAACGATACTCTGTAAATTCTGGGATGGACACGAGGCCCGTCTTCTGCAAAACAGACTGAAGGAGCGGTTCCAAGACGTGAGAACTATAAAGCCTCAGGCCAGTCGGAAGGACTCTGCTGAATCTTATTATTTGGCGAGGCTGTACAAAGGGAGATGAACGCTGAGAATCGCGGGGTATCAAACAGCTGATCAGACATTGATTGGAAATCTGAATTTGGCATGTATTTAAAGAAAAATCCCAGCATTAAGACCCCTAACTTGAACTGTTATCTCATTGAGAACAACCTGGGAAAACACGCTACCATTCTTATGAAGTACGTTGTGCTTTTCAGACACAAAAATAAACCAGGGTGGCATCCTGCTGAGTTCATCCACTAATTGTACAAGCAGAGACATCCAATCTAGCTTCTCACCTGCAGAGAAAACAGTGGGGAATGGAGAGGAGTAATCTGAAAGGCAACCTCTGGGGCTGGAGTGATGGAAACGAAAATAAAACAGTGATTATATGAGTTTTTAATGTGTGCTTGAAAATCATTGCGCTGCTAATGTCCGATTTGAGACTAACCATAAAGACGGTTGTCAGAACGCAAGGGAGTAGCAAGGGGACTTTCAGCCAGTTTATTGCCTCTTCACCTTTCTTAAAATCTGGTGCAATTTATTAGCGCATGTAAAAATAGATAACGTTTTCCTGCATGTCAGGTTTGGCGTCGCCGCGTACGACGTGTATTGCAGCCACTCGGGATACGTGACTCTGGCTGGGGAGCGTGCTTGCTGGCTCTGCTGCCTTGCCTGAGGACGCAGGTTATATTTAGAAATTGCTACTTCATTGTGCTCATAAATCCAGTGAATGATGGTAGGGCAGGGTCATCGCTACTGAGGAGATAATTTCCCCTATGTTTTCAGTAATGTTTAATGTTTGACTGATGGTGTTTCGTAGGTGAGATGCCAAGATGTTCCTCGGGTCCCAGACGGGGAGAATTACTGGCTGAATTGTTAGAATTCTGTTTGCAAAAATAAATTTAGCCGCTGCCTTATCTGGAAGTGACAACTTTTACATTAAGTAGCACTTTTATCAGGCCGAGTGTGGCATGAGTTATAGGAGGGACTGGCACCACTGTATGTTTTTAAGGCTTCCAGATCTTTCTCGTTACAAACATCTCAGTTGGGATTGCTCACAGATTTATCGAGTTTTAACTGCTTTGAAACCTTCCCCATCTGCATCTCGGTGCTGAATGCAGCTGCGGTTGGGCAGGAGGGCTGGGCAGGTCCTGAGCAGGACCGACCGTAGCATCCCTGTCCTGGCGACAGAGCGGGGGCCACAGTCTTTTTGGGGGCGGGGAGGGGCGGGATGGACCCGAAGCGGGGCATTACGGTACGGCGCGGAGGCCGCAGCGGCATTGCGCTCTTAGTCCCGTGGTTACGGCGGCCCCGGCGGCTGTTCTCGCGAGAGCTGGCGGCGAGTTCCCGCGAGATCTCGGCGCCGGGGCGAGG